ACTCTCATCAAAAGCATGGACTTTGTCAGAGGGGACACAGTGTACCGGCATCGTCACAAACAAAACATTGCCCCCACGTTGACCCTGGCAAACCAGCACAAACCCAGATTCGAGTTTGAGGTAGATCAAAATCTGAGAGGGACTGCAAGTGCACAGAGCACATCCCTACATGTCTCTTGTTTTGTTAGAGTAAAGAGAAGCCCATCGACACAATAATGGTCATTTAGTGCTGGGAAAAAGTCAGACATACAGACAAACAGAAACAACAGAGGGAAAGTGAAGAAGTAGGACCTACAAGTGGCACCCTCCAACTACCCGCATATCCCAACATAGAAGTTAAGTGCTATTTACTTTATACTTTATCATACCCCAACAGACCGTATTACATTCTCATCTTCCTAGGAAGCTTTACTTTCAGCACTCAAACACTAACATACTGACAAAATCTTTCACTGATCTATTCAGGCACCCAGTCTCACCAAAATGAAGTGTGTAAGTGTCTTTTCCAATGACAGAACATCAAACAAATAAACATCAGGTCGACAGTAAAGAAGAAAAACCTACCAATGGCACCCTTTAACTTCTTTTCGAGAATGATTTTCTGTGCACAGATACAGGACCGACTAGTGAAACTGTCAGAGCCTGGGTCTATGATGGAATGACATAGTCTTTCCTGAATAAAGGATTTTTCTTTCTTTCTTTCTCCTATGTTAAATATCTTCCCCACAAGAGAATTCAACACATGAACTTCGTGAACAACGACAAATAGTCAAATCATCACAATAAAGACTTTGGTGTGGAACTAAAAAGACGTTCAGCCTGTCAACAATGATCTTAAAAAAAACCCAAAAAACAGAAACACCAAGAAAATGACTGACAAAGAGAGCAAGTAACAGAATTGTTATGGATCCCATCACTTTTGATTTTGGTACAGCTTTCATGCCTCTCTCAGCATTGTAAAGTAAATGAAGAGCTGGAATCTCTGATGTATAAGGTTAAATGTCCTTTTCAACATAATAATGTTGTAGCACAGAATCATGTGTGGGAGAAATGGAGATTATCACTGCATAATTGCCGTACTCCATATGTAGTGTGAACTTCTGTCAGCCAGTTTGCTGGCTGTATTATGGAGAAAATTAACAACATTACTTTAGCAAGGACCATACAAATTGAATCCGTGGCAGATGGCAGTTTAAAGGGGTAAATAGCATGTTTATACAGACGTTCCTTTCTGTGCACTTTGACTTGCAAATCTGGCAGTAAGCAGAGATGGCGGTATAACGGAGGGTGGTATACCTGTACTTGCAAAACAGTTATGTTCTAAACCCAAAAAGCATGAAATGCAATTAGATCTATACTTTCTGTAGTGAACAACTTCATGCCATTTTGTTTTCAATATCAATATCACAGAATACAGAGAGGTAACAAAAAGAAAACACACATAAATACCCACCTGCAAAGTTTTCAGCCGCAATCTCATTCGAGAGATGAAAAAATAGCTGGCGAACGAAGCCAGAGGAAAAGCTCCAGGAATAAATCTTCTTTTGGAAGATGTTTCAATACTCCCTGATGCCAAATTGGCTTCAAATATCTGATCCTTCAGGAACTTTTACTTCAGTTTTAGTTTTAGTAGGGTTTTACGGCGCTCGCAACTGCATAAGGTCATATGAGCGTCGAGGGGTGGATGTCAACAGAGAAGTCCATACAGGGAATCGGGCTTACTCTATTCACCTCTCTAGCTTCAACAGCACAAAGTCTGCTTCGACTATCAAGGCACCCCGTAAATAGCGGGTCACAAGAGAATGACAAACATACAAAAGAAGTAGAGAAATAAGGACGATAGCAGGGATGAGGAAAGAAAAAGCAGCAGTTCCCTGTTGCAATTCCGGCACAGTTATGAGCATGACATTGATGAATCAGCCCATTTACAATTCTACTGTGCAACAGAACATGGTAATGTCCCCCCTTTGGGAATGGTCTAAAGACACTTCAGTCAGTAGCACTGCCCCGGTGGGTGTCAGGAACTTAAAAAGTCCATGTTGAGAAGAACCTTCAGTTGTAAGTTATCTCTCCAATGCAGCGCATACTACAGAAACCCCGATAACACATACTTTACAGGACCAAAGAGTTTTTCACGTTAAGCAGATTTCTTGTTCAGTGGAGTGCTAATGAACAGAGAATAATTGGGAACTGACTTTTTTCTACCAGTATAAATGTGTGCTTTTATTTTCAACCACAGATGGATGCCCTGCCCCACAGAATTGAGGCTCAAGGCAGGTTTCAGCTGTTTGCTCTGTTATCCCGAGCTATGAAGTCCATTTCATAAGTGAATTTTGTGCGTCCATAAAATATGTGTCGTAATAGCTACAGTCATGAAACTTAGTGCATATGCACATTGACTCTTTTGAAATTTTAACGAAAAGTTTAGCACCAAGATGTTGAATGGCCGTTGAATAACGCTGCATTTTGTGATGCCACTCGGAGCACAATGGCTGGCAAAACAGAGTCTGAGACATGAAAAAATCTCTTTCAGGATGAAATTCAAGTTGTCATAAAATTTTCAGGACAGGAAAATGGAAAGCAAAATCTGTGGAGAAGGGGTCTGAACCTACTGAGCATTGTGAAAGGAAAAAAAAAAAGGAAGAGGGGGAAATCTGCTGGGGGGAAATGATGAACAAGATCTCCTGGAATTTTTAAAAACTGTGTTAAGGGAAGTTGTAACGTATTGAATAAAAGGGAAAAAAACAACAGGGAGTTTGAAATCCTTTCAGGTTAACAGAGCCTTTCTGTTAATTGGCTTTGTGTTAAACAAAGTCTTCTGTGCTAGAATTTAGATTGATAAGATACTGTGTTGAAAATATCAGAACACCTGTTTGTGCACTTTTTACTTCACTGATCCAAACACACACCCACATTCACCCACACACACTCACACCCACACAAAAACACAAAACATTCACATAAAGCCAAGTGCACCCACACACAAACACACATGTACTCATGCCTGGATTTGCCTAATTTTTATCTCACTTAATTGCCAACTTTACTTTCGTTCAATATTATTCTATATGAATACACTGCTTCATTTACTTTCTCAATACTCTTTAAAACATGCAGACTGTAAAGATTCCCAAGGAGCAATTTTAAATCAGCGAGTAGACAAATTTCACTTTCAATTTCCGATACCAAATACGCATGCATTTTTCACAATATCTTTTCACTCATACATACGAATGCGTAACCATTTCTGTCCACCAGTTTTACACGACATAACACACAATTCACTTAGCCCCAGGGGTATGGAATAGGCACAGAACCAAAACATGAGAAACTAAAATTCACAAGATGCTTCCTTTGTATTAGATATAAAAGACCAGACAAAATACAGCTGCATGTATCCACAAATGGGACACAAAAATATGCAGAACAAAGAGCAGAAAGAATTAGAAAAGTATTATTTTGAACTGAGCAGCATGCAAAAGGAATCCAAACATTAGCATAACAAACATAGACAAGTGCCAAACTACCCTCTTCATATTCTGCTTTTGAAATAAGTAATTTTTATCAGTTCAAGAGAGCACTGGGTACACTCAAATAATACCGAAGTAGGATTTTGGGATCTTTCCTACATGAATCAATCAATTTGTAGCTGCCTTTAGCTTTCTTTCGTGACATAAAGATTGAAGGCCAATATTATGCTTGAAAAACATGGACTTAAAATAGTAAAAGAAATGGGATAATCAAGTTAAAAAAAAAAAAATGGTGTGAACCAGTGCTTGATGAAAAACCCACTCCATTCAAGATATGTTCTTATAGCAATGGAAGAAAAAGTTCAGAATTAAAAACGTGGAAAGAGCAAACACACAAAGACAAAAGTTACACGTTTAAGGAGAACAACACAGTTGACAACAAATATGTTAGTTTTCTTAAATGAATCATTCTTGTTGCACTGCACAAACATTCTTGAAGAATCTGACTGAGTAATGTTCATCTTCGGCGGAAACTTATGTAATTTCCATGAATTTTGTCAGATTCTGCGTGATTTGCAGAATGGAAGAATGGGAGCAACGAGTCTAGCCACATTTCATGACATTGCTCCTATTCGATTGTTAAAAAATTACAATGAACTTGAATTCATTTAGTCACAAGTGGACAGACTTGTAGCAACAGCCAATCAGAGAGCATTTTTCTTGTCGGTTTTTTTATTGTTCACATGCAAATGTTTTTTACGCCATAGACACAATGTAGATCATTTAGTAGGCGGGCTTCCAACCCTGCCTCTAAGGGCCAACCTGGGCTGACAGGGCCACAACATCCCAGTGGAAAGACCGAGATACTCATCAGAGAGCAATTACGTGATTATTTGAGGTCCGAATTTTCAGCGCACAGTGAAGTCTATGACGCACAAATAAAAGACTTGTATCACCTCCCTTCACTTTCGCAACAAAGCATCCTGTACAGCATGGCCCATGTCAACTCAGTCTTGCAAAAGCAAACCACCACAGATGTGAGCTCTGGCAGGCCTGTCGTCCTTATCTGACTTCACTCTCCTGACTCAACAGGCTCAATTAGTGTACACTGCTTTTTATACGCAATACCAACAACACACGTGACCATGTTCCTCGTGAGTGGCAATTATGTCTTAGGGTTTAAATTTTTAATGGTAATATCATCAGCCTTATCCAACTTGCCAATTACATAAAACTTCTACACCTTTCACTTGCTATGAAGTGACATAAATCTGACAGTAGGTTACTTTAACTTGAGATCACAGGACAGCATTTTGAGGTCTCGACAGATCGTACCACTGATAATGCTTTCAGTAGTGCCATGTGTTTGGTGTCTTATCTTCCAGCAGTTACAGACAATTTTTTTCATCAAGGTCATGCTGAAACATATACCTTTCCAAATGCCAACACAATTACCACTTCAAGAAACTAGGCCACAAAAGGTTAGAAACTTGAGTGTTAAAAAAAAAGGAACAGTCGTGCTTCACTCACCTGCCGTAGACGTAAGGAATGGGCTTGGGCTTCTCTTTCTCGATATGGTGCAGGAGAGGCGTGAAGATGCGCCAAGCTTCATACAACTCATCAGACCGCACAAAATGGATTTGGGAACCCATGAAAACGTCTAGGATGAGACGCTCGTAGGCGTCAGGCATTTTGACATCCTGGGAAAATCAAAAGACAAGAACAAATGATAAACTCTGTACTGGTACATATTTGTTAATTTTCTTGGAAAAAAAAAATTAGCACACATTCACATCTTTCCATGCAAAATACATTCATTAACTCAGAAAACCACCAAAAAGGATGCATACACATGTACAGAAAAAAAAAAAAAAATTAATTAAAAAAAATAAATTATATATAGGCCTTTATATAGACGTTCTGTTTATAAAATACCTTTCAGACCCTGCTAGGTGGGTGGTTGACGGGTGCTCTGGCATGCTTTGCTCCTTCTTTCCTATCAAACATCTATCATCCTTATTTTTCCTCCTTCTTTTCTTTGTATGTTACTCTCTAGTAACACCTCTAATCTTAGGCGCGGTATGACCTATTTGTGTGGCAAGGGCCAAAAACTCTTACTAAAACTAAAAAAGACCTCGCTAGAGTGCCCCTAATCCCCTGCCCAAAAAGCCAGAGGAGCTCACCTTGTATCTGCTGCCGTATGTGAGGTCGAGCTCACTCTCCTCAGCATTGATGCTCATTCCGGGAGTCTTGGCCATCATCTTCATGTAGATGGCCTCACTGGGCTGCACGCGGATCACCAGCTCGTTACGCTTCACCTCGCCGCCGGGGAAAATGTCACCCGCCACATCTCGGAACTGGACTCGCACTTCAGCTTTGCGCTCATTCAGTGCTGTAATGAAAATAACGAGGAAGCAAATTAGAGACATTATATCATTTCGCAAATCTCAAAAGCAACAGACAGTAACGGCATTCATAAAAAAAAAGTTAGAACTTGACCTGCTGATAGCCTGTTTGGTATCATGCTTGCCTGCAGTGTGGCAGACTCTGCTTTGAATTACCTATGACTTATGTTCTTCCAATTTTGATTGTGCACAGAGTGATCAAGACTCTTCACTCATTTGGTTCAGTCCTATTGCAGATTTTACTTCTTTGTATTTAATACACGCACATAGCAAAATTTATATATAATGAAAAGATTTCCACTTTCAGTTGATTTCACTATGTGTGTGTTAAACTGTATCTAATTCTTGCTCTGAAATTATACTTCATCAAATTTGACACAGTACGTTTCCTCACAGAAAACCTAAAAAAAATGTTCACTCACCTTTACCACATCTGAGAATAAAGGGCACGCCATCCCACCTCTCGTTTTGAACATGCAGAGCAACTGTGGCGAAAGTCGGGGTCACAGATCCTGTATCAAGACAAGGGAGTTGAATTAAGTTCTTGTTGTTCACTTAAAGTCAGCAAAACGAAGAACATATTTTGGAAGAATGCAGGTTGAGGTCATAAAAAATCTTGCTAAAGAGTAGAACCAGAGCATTCACCAGCCAGCATCTCATGATAGGAAAGGGAGGGTTTCAAATTCATATTTAAAAAAAAATTGCATCCCAATTTCATTACAAAATACTAACAGACTATTGATTGTTCTGTAATACCAAAACCCTCAGAATGAGTTGTACCTGTAAGACAATTAATGGGAAAGAGAAGCAAAATAAAGTGGGACTTTTCTTTAACCGTGCCTCTCCCTTCTATAACAGTCCCTTACGATAAACACTTATTCAGAACAAGGAATCACAACTTCCATTGTTTAGCATTGCTGGTGAATTGGTAACACTTTCTAAAACTCCTGTAATTTGAAACACAGTCAACATTGTGCTTCACCATCACCCATTGTCTAGGAAAGTGGTTGTCTTAGATGGACATCCTGGACAGTGTCATTTTACTATAGAAAAAAACATCAGGGGGGAAGTGGGGAGTGGTCGTTTATACAGGTGACTGTCTTGGCTGTTAAGAGCAGGTTTGCCTGTCTTTATTTCCTTGACTTGAGATATATTACACAACCAAGACACAAGATTTTTGTCTTTCAGAATCAGCACACTATTTTAAAGGAAAGCAAATGAAAAAAAAAAGTGTTATCGAGGAAACGCTTTACTCCGTATGTGAAAAGCCACCTTTTCTTCCAGTGCTACCTTGAGGGATTCATTCAGCCAAATTTCGTCATCGCCTTTTAATAAGCCTCACTGGGTTAAGCTTTTTTCGCTTTCATCCAATACAACTCAAACTTGACCTCACCTTTTGGCACAGTTGGGTCATCTAGGTAGCCATCCTTGGCATCTCCGCTGCCGTTGGGGTCACCTACGTACTGTCCCAGCACAACATCCTCCATGTTGGGGGAATGTATGCTCTTCAGGACTTTCACCTGAAAAAACAACAACAAATACAGTGTTTTACATCATGATAAATGCAATTTGGACATGCAAGTACAAAGATCAGAACAAGACAAAAGTCCCACCAATTGTCTTTCCTTTCCTTCCACAGGACACATGATAGCAATGATTTGAAGGTGGTCTAAATAGGAAAATAGAGTGAATGGAACGCGGTTTTTCTTTATAGCAAGGGAATAGCACTTTATTAATTTTCACATTCATCATCAGCATTTCAAATTAATGTCTATATACTAAATTTAAGACAAAGTTCTTGAATTTACAATCTGAATTCGTTCTCCGATGCACTTGTTCGTAATTGAAATTAAACTGTTATACAGTGGAGTCTGCTAAAAGAACAATGTGTGGGACCATCACATTTTCTTCAGTTTAGCCGCTGCTTAACAAACAATTAACAGAAAAAACATACCTGAAACTACCCAGTCTAACGTGACTATTTCTAAATGCAACGAACCAGTGTATCATATGTTAAAAAATATGACAGGGTCATCGTGATTACTGTCTCGGTGCTAGTCACCTGGGCAATGATCTCACCTTTTCATTTCGAATGTCCTCAGCGTGAGTGGATGGAGGCTTCTCCATGGCAACCAAGGTCAAGATTTGTAACAAGTGATTTTGCATGACGTCTCTGAAATAGGGAGACAATTTCATTTAAAACAAAAGAACGAAAGAAAGTCATTAATAAACTAAAGATACATGGCACAACTAAAGTACTATCAGAACTCTTTAAAATCAACACCACAAAGCCACAAATTGCACATTTTCTTGAAGTATCCTGTAGGTCTTAAGGCAACGAAGAAGCTAAAGGCTGTAACAGTGTTACGTGTGCTCAGGCTGGCAATGCTACTCATGCTGAAGTCAGAAATACTATGTTAGCTACAGCTAGCAATGTATGTGAGGTGTGACTGGCAGTCTTAAACTCATGTAACAAAACATGTTATTTTAATTTTGTATCATAAAAGTGAAGGTAGAGGTAAAGTGAAAAAACGTCACCAAACTACTTCCTCATCTACAGTTCTATAATAAACATTATCGAAAACTGAGGAGGCACAATCATTTTCACACTCACCTCAGGATGCCAAACTCATCGAAATAGCCACCACGGCCTTGAGTGCCAAAGGGTTCCTTGAAAGAAATCACCACGCTGGCAATATTGTCACGGTTCCAAATTGGACTGAAGATTCGGTTACCAAACCTGAAACAAAGAACCACAGGAAAAATGTCAAACTTTGTTTTCACCAGTAATTACTTTACACCAATTCTGAACCAGGAATAAAACAGTACGATAAGAAAAGGTATTCGTGTATTGAAACTACGGTAAAAGGAGAAAATATATAAAACTATAAATTCATTAAAAAAACCCACACAAAACAAGTTATTTCTGGATAAGTGAGGGAACAGGACAATGTATCCCATCAATATCTTAAACAAACTCAAGCAAGACTAAAAGTTCAAGTCATACCTAACTGAACAAAATAGACATATACAACTGTTTATTAATTTCCTTCGCATAACCAAGGACATTGCAATGAAATGGTTTTAAAAAAACACCCCCCCCCCCTACCTTTTATGAATGCCATTGGCATATTTGATGTATATATAACTTACCTCAACACCATCAGATTCTGCACCATTTCTTTGCCTAAATAGTGGTCAATACGATACAGTTCCTCCTCTTTGAACAGGGCAGCCAAGTGATTGGAAAGTCTGTTGGAGCTCGCCAAGTCTCTGCCAAAGGGTTTCTCTACTACAATCCTTGTCCACTTGTCGCTAAAACAAAGAGAAACACATTCCATTTTCAAGAGCCATAAAAATATCAAGCAAAGATAAAATATAAGCATGGAAATAATAGGCCTACCTCTGGAAACCCAGAAGCGTGTTTCTGCAAAATAAATCAAGAACTATTATTTATGGCGATGTCTTAATGAACCTTTCCCGTATTCCGTAAAATTCAGAGAGATGTGTATTGCTCACATTACCATTAATATTATGAAAAACTGTACTTACTGCTAGTCAATATGACAAAGATGAGAAAATTGAGGAACCCCTTCTTGCAACTGTGTAATTTCCAGAAAACAAAATAAAAAATCCATTTGTCATTAAAATAGTAACTACTTGACCTGTCTTTGGATATTCAATTTAATTTCCCAAATCATGAATAGAGCACTAACCCCCCCCCCCCCCCCCCCCAACAACAACAACAAAACAAACAAAGAAAAAAACAACAACAAACAAACAGCCTTATGCCCTACATTTTCATTTTTGGAAGTTGAAACTCCAGTTCCTAACTCAGTCATTTCTCCATATGTTTAAGAACCTTCAGTGTGGTGCTCACCTTCAACAACAGTAGTTTTGTGGAACAAAACCATTGATGAAATTTTGGTACCACAGAAATTAAACTGTAATTAACTGATGTTTAAATCTGGCTTCCCAAAGGTAAAAAGAAGCACCTTAGGGTTTGAGAGTCCAGGACCACAAATAACACTGTAAGATAAGGAGATGACAAGGCATTCAAGTACATGATGCTTGTATTGTAATGCAAATGCCAATAAATTAGCACGGAAATAAAAAAAAAAACAGTGTCTAAACACAGAATTTTATCCACAGCACAGATCCGACAGTGATAAAGTCACACATTAGTAAATAAACATACCCTTTAGACATGCAGACGGCTTTCAAATTCAGCGTGACAGTCTCAAAAACAGATGGAGGCAAAGCCAGGTAGAACAAGCGGTTACAGCTGCCCTTCTCCTCAATGGCCTTGTTGAGCCGCATAAAGTCCTCTGTCTTGTCGTAGCTGCCGGCCACATAGTCATTCAGCTTGAAGAAGGCCTTCACTTTGTCCTCCTCTCCTTCCTTGACCTGAATTTATCACAGAATACAGACCAAAGCCACAAGTAAATCAACTGACAACATAGAACCTTAAACTTAATTATACATATATAACCAAGACATTCTATTCAGACCAGTTTCACGGAGCTAGAGAAAGGTATAGCAGTGAAGGCACGCATGCAACACCTAAAGGGAAACAGGAGGGCGAAACACAGCACTGAACATCAATCTATTCCTTGAAGTCACTACAACTAACATTTATTGGTACATACTTATTCGGCTACAAGAGCCATCATTACAGAATATAAATCGTCGCCTCAGAACTATTTTGTTCAAAGTGTAAATACTTAGGTGAAGAGGCACTTTGGACAAAATAGTTCTGAGGCAACGAGATGTGCACCAATACCAAACAAACACGGATGTCTGTTCAGGTGGTACAGTGCCTACTAGTACTACAAGTATTTTCAAAACATTTTGTATTCTATTAGCCGAACCCTTTGAGTGGCAAATTCTCACTAACTTTCAATGATCCCCAACAGCAGATCATATAGCTTACATCTAACAAACACAAACAAACACAGTGTCATTTATTAATATATATTTTTTTAAATTTAAAAATTACGTCATTTCTTTTCTAGGAGTTTTTATTACACACAATGAGAACTAGCAGCTCGCAAGGGCACAGCCATCTTGGAGTGAAGTGAACAAAAATAATGACAAAATTTGTAATTTTCACGTAGAAAAAATCTTAAAAAGGACAAGTTTGCACTTTCGACTAAAAATAAGGGAAATAGCCCAAGTACATTCTTGTAACAATTTACTATACTATAACAAGTCTTTAAGTTTAGTATTAATAAAGAAGTTTTATGGCACTTGCAACGCAATCAGGTCATACAAGTGCTGAAGATTAGACTAAAGGCGTTACTAGAGTATAACATACAAACAAAAGGAGGAAGAAAGATTAGGGACATTAGATGTCTGATAGGGAAGAATGGGCAAACCGCACCAGAGCAACTGCCAGCCACCAGCTCACACACACCATTGTCGCAACAACAGACACAAGCACTTCTATAAAGTTTACGCAAAACCTGACAATATTTAATATCACAATAATGGGAGGGAAGTAATTAAAAATTACTATGTATACAAATGTTTACAGCCAGATTCAGCCAAGTCAAAAATTGGGCTTACAGGTACAGCTGTAGTGGTGTTCTGGTGCAAGGAAAGAGTGAAACCAACTAAAACCAATACTACCAGTTCCCGTCTATAAAACATATAAAGTTGTAGTTGTCATGAGGAGGTAACATGTTGCTGCCTTCACAACAATACAACTGACATAGAGGCCAAAATGTGATATATTCAGTGATTACCATTACAAAGTACATGCAATGCAAATGTAAATGTACATGAAAAAAAGATATGCCTTATCAATATGAATTACTTACAGCTTTCTTCCATCAGCTTCAGTGTCATATTACAATTTTTATGACAGATTATTAACACTTTGCCGCCTCATCTCGACGATTGGCGATGTTTTCCACCCAGTTTCTTTGGATGTCCCCCAAAATGTGGTGGCAAAGTGTTAAGGAAGACAGACAGAGCCTATATAGACAATAGCATTTTTTAAGGGTATATATACAGCAATTGTAACTTAACAGGTGAAAAGAAGAAAGATATTCAATTAATAATTTCAAAAGCACAGTGGCTGGGAGCAACTCGCCTTAATTTAAGAACTCATGTCTGCATAAATTACGACGATATTTTACGGCACTTTAGGATGGAAAGTTTACATTGAACAGAAAGAAAAGTCCACTTTTATACCTGGCAAACAGTAACTTTATTAAAGTGAGTCAAGGCTCTTCATTTTAATCATTTGCACTTGGAAAAGAGGATGGGACAAGGCAAATAGGCTAAAACAGCACCTGGACATGGATGGCTGGTGCCTCTATAAATAAATCATTGATGGTCTGGTCTGGGACAAGGCAAAGCAAAACCAATGGGAGGAAGTCACCATAAACTGAAAAACTGTACACCCATTCCTGCTCTTAAGTAACCAGGCCATCAACAAAATCAGTTTTGCCTACACACAAACACGCAATAAAATTTAAATAAGTCAATTACACCTCTACCATTTTCAACTGACCTTCATGTAGGGCAAGCAGTTCTTCTGTAGAGCTGGCATGGAAAGTTTGCTCCTTGCATAGCCAATGAAGTAGGTCTTAGGGGGGAGGAGTCCATCTCTGAACAACCACCTGAGAAAACATGATTCCATGAATTTTGTGTTCAACCCATCTCAATTTTCAGCAGTTTTGAATGTTCACATTAACAAATAACGTCCTTTACCCCTGCAAAGAAACCAGTGGGTACATCATCATTTTGTCACTTGATTCAAAGTGGGACAAAATTCAAATCTTGTGCTATTTGTATAGCTGACTTGGCATAAATAGAAGTAACAATTTCTACATTCATCAAGAGATGATTAACAATAAATATTATATTCCTTTTAAAACTGACACTTAAGGTATGTTGCATCAAAACTTATTGAAAACTCTTTGCTCCTGTAAATTCATTTACGAAAAGTGAACCCCAAATTTTTATTCTGACCTGCACATCTTTGTGTCTATTTCTTATGCCATGATAATGTTTATCTAAATACATTCAAAACTGTCCATAACGGTCATACAAGACAAAATTACAAAGAAAAATGACCATAGTAGACAGGTGGCTGCCATGGACAGGGTCTGTGTTGAGGCCACTTACTTGATTTGACAAAGTCTAGATATGGCTTAAAATCTGAAATGTCTATTTTTATCTTTCCATTTCATATGGAATTCATCAAAACTGTTATCTAACAGAAAAGCCTCTTTTAATCTTGATTGAATGTTCACACTCAGTCTGAGCGTGGGCTGAGGGAAAACTTTTGTAGCAAGTGACGGGTAAGGGCCAACTTGTTGCGAAAGTAACAGACCGTGGCCCCATTGCACCACTATGGACAGGTTAAAAATATATAGGAAAAAATCCAAGGGTGTCACGGAACAACGGCTGTATTATGGGTGACCGCTATGGAGAGATGACTGCTAGGGCACGTTTGACTGTAATTGTCATGACTTCAGAAAAAAAAGATAAGACTGTAAACTGTAAAGAAAAATAGGAAAACATAATAATATATTTACAAGAAAATAACTGACACATATCACATTATAGCAAAAATTACTTACCAAAGGGTTGGATAAATTTTTTTCTTTGCGAGGTCACCCTGGGGAAGAAAAATGTGGTCAAAGAAATACCATGAGATGACATAAATGATGAGCGGATTTTAACCCTGGAAGCGCGCAGGCCCTGTATAAAGGGCGTGAGCCGGGTTACCCAGGAAGCACGCAGGCCCTATATATAGGGCTGACCTACTTTGACCGCGAAGTGCGCAGGCCCTAAATAAAGGATATAGACGCTGATCTTTTTCAATATAAAATTTCAGTGTTCTTTACGGAAAATAACATGGTTAATTACAGGTCAAAGTTATAAATAGTGACCAATGACTTTGCAAGTTATCTTGACCTCATAAAGCGTCTCTTGGCCAAGATATCGATCGATAAAATGACGCAGTCCAGCTGAGCGACTACACGCTATGTGTTATCACTTGTTTCGCTGTGCTGATGTACTAATTGTTGAGTTCATCGGGTTCTGCCCTTCAATTGTATTTATTTGATCACTTACCATTTTTGAATGGCTCATTCTATTAACTTAAAGAAAAGATATATGGTTTTATAATGTAAATGCTTTTTATCATCTGTTGAGCCGTAAACTGTCATTTTTCAGTTGCAGGTACATCTCAGCTGATATCCCCCACGAAACCCCCATGTTTACAACTGAACGGCCGAGGTGGTGGGGCATTTTGGGCGGGTTACTTCCAGTGAAACGCTGAGCGCTTCTAGGGTTAAGAGCACTGGCTGAGATACACTATAGTCTAGATTTGAGTCACTATCAGAAATCACATTCAAGATTCAAGAACATCTCTACATTTTTATTGTTTACTGGAGGGTTTGTTCTGAAGTAAAACAATGATTTAAAAATATATAAGACCAACCGCAAATAAAATTGCAAAATTATGAAAGATTACTTTTAAAATCAGGTGACGCAGTAGGCTACTTGCACAAAACATACAACTTTGAGTAATAGAGGGGAAAGTTCCAAAGACAATAATACAACGAATCCAAATTTATTTGACACAAGTAAAGTCTGTTTTAAGTGGAAAGCATACACCCCCAACAAATTATAGATGCAACTACATGCAGGGCGTAAACCGGGCTACGATTGGCTGAACCTGTGACCCATGACGGTACTCTGGGAATTCCTGATTTCGGTCTCGCGCCTTTCACCGTCTTCTCACAGGGGGTTGGATCGTTCATGGAAGAAGAAGAAGAAGAAGAAGAAGAAGAAGAAGAAGAAGAAGAAGAAGAAGA